TTGAATAAAAGTTTTATGAAATTATTTAAGTTATCAGTATAAGTAAATAGGAGATATACTGGATTGTTATTTATTCCAAAATTAAGCAAGAATATATTTTTCCGTACTATATTAAACTTAAAATAAAACCATTAAAACTGCATTGTGCTAACTTTATTAGCTCAAATAGAGTAATAGTACGCCTAGTATATTTCTAACTGACTCATACCGATATAACTTGATTTATTTTATAAAAATTTTATACAAAACGCTTTTTGTAAATCTATTAGAATTCAAAAAATAAAAAGTTATCTGACACAAAAAACGCGCTCGTCTTTCTACATCTCAACTACCTTGGAAGAGAAGGCGCTTGGCCGACGTTTTGAAATTCGCGAGCGAGAACTTCGAAACATCGGCTTTCTCTAGTGATAAGACCGTTGGTGGTACGAGCGCAGTTGAATTTTATGGTGTAGGTGTAAAAAGGGAGCGCTCGTTTCGCTCGCTGCTTCCTCTAGTAGTAAGGCCGTTGTTAGGACAAGCGTAGCTGACTCTTATGGTGTAGGTGTAAAAAGGGCGCGCACGGCCGATCTTTTAAAATTCGCGCGCGCGAATTTCGAAACGTCAGCCAGGCGCATTCTTTCTTCCACTAGTGGTAAAGCCATTGTTGGGACAAACGTAGCTGATTATTATGGTAAAGGTACAAAAAAGGGCACCCTTACTTCGCTCGCTCTTTCATCTAGTCGTAAGCCTGTTGGTAGGACGCGCACAGCTGGCTCTTAAGGTGTAAGTGTAAAATGGGCGCACTCGCTTTGCTCGCTCCTGCCTTTAGGGGTAAGGCCGTTGGCACAACGAGCATAGCTGGCTGTTATGGTGTACGTCTAAATAGGGTGCACACAAATTTCAAAACATCGGCTAAGCGTGCTCGCTTCTAAGGTAGTTGCGTCTTGGTACGACGAATGTACTTTCATGTTATAGGTATGTCAGGAAACATTTTTATTTTGTTTATGAAATAAATCAAGTCATCAATGTAAGTCAGTTAGAAATATATCGGATGCACCATTACTCCAAAATAACGAATGGATGGCTAATGGCTAATAAAGTTAGCACAATATTATTTTAAATTTAATGTATTTAAAAAAATATATATTCTTTTGTAATTTATGAATATTGGTCAACCCAGTATATTTCTTATTAAACACGAAGGCGTATTTCTTATTAACTTATACTGATAACATGATTTACTTCATGAAATTTTCATCAAAACTTTTTTTTAAACTTATCAGGAATGTACATATTAATAAGTTACTTTTTGTTCACTCTGTAAATAAATTTCGACCTAAACATGAACAAGATGTTTAAAAAACATGGCCATAGTACTTAAATTTATTACCTTTTATTTACTTCTATAATTTTCTCACTGGTAAAATGATCTTTTAAATATCTGAAATATCTTTTATTTTAAAAATAAATAAAATAAAACGTTTTAAATGGGACGGCTGAAAGTTTTCAGGGGTGACGTCACGCCGCGCCGGACTCAGTAGATATTAAATGAATTTGGCTATCCTTTTTAGTTGATATAGTCATTGACTTTGGTTAAAAATTCATTTGTCAGACTAATAATTAATTCTCTTGTTTGAAAGTTAAAAAACTTTTGAATAACCCAAAATAATTGTTGTTTATTACTTTATAGATGAAGTAATATTAATATTTAATTAATGTGTACAATTAAATCAAAATGGATAAAAAAATAGCTGGATGTGACTGGAAATTAAAAGTTTTTTTAGGAAAAGCAACAAAATAAATTAATAAAAGTAGTGCATGGAGGCATTCGTAAACTAATCACTGCGCATGTCAGTCCTTTTATTCGTCAGTTGTGTAATCAGGGAGTTGTACTTGTTGGAACGCAAAATGCAATGGAATTGGCAAACCAAACACATGTTTCTGAATAGGTATTTTAAACAATATTTAAAATACAACAAAATACATTTATTTATTTATTTATTCTATGTAAATGTATAATTTCGAAACCTTAAGATGTTTATTTTTATTAAAAATAAGTACGTATTTTATACAGTGAGCACCATAAGTCTTACCCCCCCCCCCCCCCCCTATCTAACTCGTTACTGGAGTCTTGTTAGGAAAATCGCCGAGACAGGTCGATTTTTGATTTCTACAATGTACATTTTTTGTATGAATAGTTTACCCTTAATTTCATCCCTTACTGGAGGGGAGCAACCCTTTCGAAAAATTTAAATGGCATGGGGTGGTGAGTGATAGCTCATTTGAAAGAGGGTTTTATTCTCTATTCAACCGTGTAAAAAAAATTTGAAATTTGCTTCATTAATTATCGACTAATTGTTGTTTCAGAATAACGGAAATTAACGTAGCGCACTCATCCTTAGAATTAAAATTCGGCACTGCATGACTTCGGTTTTGGTTCAGACGTGAAGTAAGACTTTTTGCCATTAGAAGGTCACTGTTAGTCTAGTTGCTTTCCTATTTTGTGAGGTTTTGTTATTTTTAAACATTAATAAATCAACATGTAATGATGCAAATTTCAAAATTTTTTTGCACGGTTGAATAGAGAATAAAACTCCCTTTCAAATGAGCTATCACTCACCACCCCATTCCATTTAAATTTTTCGAAAGGGTTTTTACCCTCCAGTAAGGGATGAAATTAAGGGTTAACTAATCATGCAAAAATGTACATTGTAGAAATTAAAAATCGACCTGTCTCGGCGATTTTCCTAACAAGACCCCAGTAACGAGTTAGTTAGGGGGGGGGGTAAGACTTAAGATGCTAACTGTATAAAAAAACCGTACACAAGATAAAAACAAAATTTTATAACATTTATGAATTTCCGATATGACACTGAAATTCCTTATTGCGGTCCTGGTAATATCAATATCATAATATCAGTAGCGCACGGCTGTTTTGCTGCACTTGGATTTAAAAACAGTAAAGTTTATTTAGATTTGGATTTTCCAGCAAAAATTTAAGTTTAATTTTAATTCAAGGAAATCTCAAAAGACGAATCAAAAAGTAAAGGTATCAATTATTTTTTTGTTCATTGTATTTTTCGGTATTAAATATAAAACAGGGTTCTAGTAAATAAATAGGCTGTAATAAAATTATTGTAAATGAATAAATGATGTACATAATATGTCAGACTTCGTGAACGTGCAAAAATATTAAATATATATAAATAAAAGTTTTTGTTCTGTGTAAAAAAACTAGTATTAATTTCAATTAAAATCCAGAATATTAAATATTGTATTTGTTTTGAAGAGCAGATCTTTTTCCAGTCAGTCTAAGATTAGGTAGCTTCCTTTTCAAACGTGGATGATGATGTGGCATAATGAGCTAATTTGAAGTTATAGTTTAAAGTTTTCTCATCCAATTAATGGCATCTTCAATATTGAATATCATCTATGATAGACAATCTAAGTTATATAATCCAAGATATAAATACTTTAAAATAAATGCTATAAAATAAATGATTTAAGATAGATAATTTAAGATTGATCATTTAAGTTACACAATCTAAGATCATTAATATAATATAACCATGTTTAAAGTTTTTGTTCCACAATGCTGTGTATCCTACAACAATTTCAAAAATAAATTTTTAATAAATATTAATTAGATTTTTGGTATTTTATTGTTTTGCGTGAAAAATATCAATGTCACATTTACAGGGTTATTCTTTTGAATACCTACATTGAGTATACAATCGATTTAGATTTTTTTCTAGGATACTATAGGAAATTGATGCAACCCTACGGAAAATGCCCTATAATCACACTAGTGCAGATAAGCTATCAAATATGCCATAGTTATTACATTACTAATATGGTAGGTACTATTTTTCCGCAGCAACTACAGGACACGTAACCAAATATAAAAACTGGAACATCAATCTAGAATATGTTCACAGTTATTCCACGCATGTGAAAAATATCACTTTCAGCACTACTGATGTAATATACTAGATAAGAATCTTTAAAATTATTGATATGAAAAAAAGTCGTTATTCATTATAAAAGGCGTGAAGACCTAAAACGTATACAAATCTTGTTTACAAAAGAAGAGTTTTTGATTAAATTTAAGACATAGACGAGTCAGCAAATATCCTGAAAGGGATAAAAGAGTTGGCAATCAAAACAAGAAAAACTCAATCTCCATTGAAAAGCTGGGATATTAACACAAATATCTTCGCAGGTTGTTTTATCTTACTGCTTATTTACTTTTTAAAATAAGGACAAAATTAACAATACCAGGACCTAAGTAATAATGTAATAAACCAATACCCACATTACTCACTAACTTTGACACAGTAAATAAAATAAAATAACGAATATAAAAATAAGATAATACCATATTACCACATTACGATTGAACATAAATTATAACGACAACTTTGAAACTTTTAAAATATTTTACTGTTTATTTAGAAGAAAAGAAAAACCACCGATTCGCGTCCACAAGACGCCATTAAAGTATTTATTAGTAAAAAAAAACTATTTTCCTTGATTAGTTGCTACTTAAACAATGTCCCCTGTATAATTGTCTTGCCTACTTACTATTAATTAATTTATTATTTATTAATTGTAGCAATTCGTTAGTTTATTTTATTTTCTGTTTTATTTGCATACATTTCTTTATTCAAAATTTATTTATATTCACTAATATTTAATTGTTTGTTGACGTGTTTGTTAACATTTTAAAGTTACTGGTTTTGTAATGGTTTTATAAGAAAATTTACCCTCTCTCCTTAGTTTTTTAAAGTGATACTTAAAATGATCATTTTAGTTATATCAATTTTGCCAACCTGATTAGAAAGTACTTGTTCCTGTTTTTACTGTTACTGGAACAAACCTATTATAAGTTCATCTAAAAATTGAAATTCAAATCTGTAATATGCATGTGTCGAAAAATATTTGGCAACACTGATTCCGATTTAAATGACAGCTCGCTGCGTCTTGACGTTATATTATAATAGCTCATTATGAGACATAACACCATCCACGTTTTTTTTACGCTTGTTCTACGTCATTTTCGTCCACGTCCATTGGGTCAGGATTGGGGTTGGGTACCGGAGCAGGAGGCAGAGCCGGGTTCAAGTTGGCGTTCAGTTGTTGTAAAATGTTTAATTGTTGCATGTTAGCGTTGACAGCTGCCGCTATGTTTTCTTGATGGTTGACATTGTTGTTGTTGTTGTTGTTGTTTGCTATGCCGCCTAAATTTCTTTGATTTTCTAAGGCTATCATTTTTTGGCGTTTTTCCTCCATGAGTCTGTCTCTAGAAAGAATAATTGATAAAATATGATAACATTTTTATATTTTTAAACTTTCGCAGTCAAACACTAGTAGATATCACTTTATCCACAACTAGTATCTATAAATCAATTCTAAACTGGCAGGTGTCTGATGACATATCAATGTCAGACTACCGATGTTTAATATTAAAAATAAACTTGATGTTAGAACCTCCACATTATCTAGGAACTCTAGGAAGACGTAAGAGCAACGTGTGTTGACCTGCGCCGAAATACCAAACAATAACGATGTTTTGGATAAGTAGTCCAATATTATCCAATGCACAATAAATACTACCTATTAGAAATCCTGCCCTCTGTGGCTGGTCCAACACGATTAGACCGCATGGTGATATCACAAGTTGGATCACCTCAGGAAGATGGCTAGGAAATTCTTTAATTAGGTAGGAACCATAAGACTCAAAGACTGAAAGACTCAAAGAGATGCATAGAGCCTACTGAAAAGAAATAAAAGATTTCCCGCATTTCCTGCATTATTGGTGCGATAATTAAAGAGGACGGCAAAACTACAAACCTCCAAAGTAGAATTAACTTGTGTTGTCGGCACACTTCACTGACTGGGCATCCCAGACGTGGCCGACTGGGCAGAGGAAGAATATCATCTGCCTGCGATTGGCGAACTTTCAAACACATTGTAGACATAGACAAAATAAGATGGGCAATATCTAGCTTCTCTCCATTCAGATCGCAAGATCTGATGTTATCTATCCAGCCTTAATTCAGTAGGGTTTGGAAGAACTTACACCGCACCCTGGTAGGCATATTCAGGTATATTCCAAAAAATAGAGAGAGGTAACTGTGAGCTTCATACCCAAACCAAAGACGTTCCAAAAACCTACCAGCCTAGCCTGAGATGGTTTGTCATGTACTTCAAGTATCAAATATCATCAGATAAAAAATATTATATACCGACATATTTTTTTTATGAACAGTTGAATATATTTTGGTCATTATTAATACTTACCTGTGTTTGTGAATATAATCTTGTACATTGGGCAAACCGTCAATAACACATGCTGATAGGGCAGACCGATAGATGTTCATATCTGTTGCTTCATACCATTCGTTTGTTTTTTCATCGTAGCATTCGACATGGTATATTGTAGTGACACCTATAACAAATAAATCTTGCAAAAATGTAAATACATTTTTTAAATCTTATATCTTATCTCGACACACACATACAACAGCTACTGTGACTCTTTCGGTAAGAATCTTTCGATGAAATTGGTAACCCTACATTATGTGGCAGTCTTAGTAGAAGGCCTGACAACCTGCACTTCTGCAAACTTATTTATTTGGTTTGATTTAATTCTAATGACTTCTTTAAAATTGAAACAGAACGATGAGATCAACATTGAATTGAATAATGTTTATAGGAACCCTGTACCTTCATTATCACCAAACAAATATTGAACAGCTGAATTTAAATGCGGATAGTAAGAGCATTTCTGTTGATGATTATCCAGGCTGTTCAAAAGAGGTCCCAACACCAGGAATGATCGGTTAAATTTATAGTATGTTTATTGATAATAATCAACGGGTGAAAGTGTGCAAGATTAGTGAGAGGTAAACAAGTAAAAAATATATAGCATGCATATTTTGAAATCAGTGTAGTTTCCAGATGAGTGTTACATTTGCTGCACAACCATATCACAACTTCAAATTAGTATTTATTGATGTCCAACAGCAACAAAAAAGATTTTTCGTCATTTTGTAACTGTAGACGAAACACAGATCCATCACAACATACAAAAGACCAATGTAAGTAGTCAAAACACTGGATGTATTCGGGCCCATTCAATCCGAAGAAAACAGAGATCATAGCAATTATATTTTGGATGTGTAAGACACAAATTTGCTTGAAAAAGACAAAACAATCACCAAATAATAATATTCAGAGCTGTTACACCAATTTGAAACCGATTTGAAGTACAACGTACCGGCGCTGTCGCAATATCAAAATTTCACTACGAATTAAATCCTCATTCGCCATATTCTACATTATAGAAATGGCTCAGTGGTAAAAGATTTGGGTCGAATGAGGAGGTAATCGCTGCAACAGAAGGATGATGATATTAGCCACCAGGGCACGTGGAGCCTTAGGTAAATCTCTTAAAATGTCTTTTACTTATAGCTTTAATTAAACTATCACCACCACTCAAAAAAAGGGAAATTTAACAGCTTTAATCATAACTATCACCACCACCCAAAAAAAGGGTAATTTTTAACTTAAAATGAAATGAGTCAAAAATTACAATAATGCAACATTAAAGGAAAACATAAAACATAAAATACAACAACCAAAGTAGACCGTCCAATTGGGATCAAATGCTCTGAAAATATTGAATAAAAAGAAAGGAGTGCAATTAATAATCAATTATCCTATGATAAGATACGTCAAAAAATGTCCAATATAATTCGCTCGAGTACTTCAGCAAAAAGAATCCAAAACAATAACTGGGTTGCTACGGTGATGCCAGAGGAGACACGTATTTCATTGGTTAAAAATATATAAATTCAATTTTCTCTATAAACGTTAAAATAATCTTACCATTGAATCCGCCAATTGCAAATATCATATCATCGATAACTTCAATGGCAAAATTACTTCTTGGATTGTACATATCGGGTATGGGTGCCCACGTATTCGTCTGCGGATTGAATTTCTCACCGCTACACATTCTAGATATGCCATTGAAACCGCCAATCACATACACTTGACCGTGGTAGGCTATACAAGATACTCCAGATCGTCTGGATCTCATAGGACTGATCAGAGACCATTGGTTTATTACAGGATCATACACTTCTGCTGAATGCATACATTCTTGGCCATTGAATCCGCCGGTTATGTATATTTTACCTAAATAGTTACAATAAATCTCAAAAAATATCGTTTAAAGAAAGAGAATAAATCTAACTTTACAAATGTGGCCACCTTCAATGAAACAAATTAAACTGAAAATCTATTCCTACATTAATTTTAAAATAACTGATGACCGGTTTCTGCTAATTATAGTCATTTTTGAGCCTATATTAAATTTGAAAGGAGTTAGACTTTATTTGTCCTTTTCAAATCTATTGTAAGACTGTGTTATTTAGAGTATGTCGTCTAACTTAGACTTTGCAGCTTTAACAGTGGTTTCCGCATGTAGTTACATGTGTCTGGCTTTTCTTCACCTCAATCTAGCCAAACTTTCACACAGGCGCATGACGTGGATTGAAGTTTCCTTTTTTTTTTCTTTACAGAATATGTTCAATGTTGCTTTTTATACTGGTTTGATGACACTTATGTGATTTTTTAGGTGACACTGTCCTGCAAGAAGACTTTCTGTTATCCAAACGATTTGTTTTGATTTAGTAGGTCTTTCGTGAACTTGTCCGACGGTTGTTTAATAGTCTTTAGCCTGTCTTAATCCTGAATAGTTTATTTCTGAGACTCTTTTTGCATCCATTGATCGATGCTGCTTGGCAATTAGACTAGATGGCAGTAGCATCGGCTCCTTCCTTGGTTTTTGAACCTTCTGTGTACTAGACGAGTTTAACATGTATGAGAGGTCCTTGTTTCCAGATTTCTCGGACGTATTTAATTTTGAATATTTCAAATTTGTATGTGGTTATTACCTATATTAGTAGGCATTCTCAGAATCTTATCCTGTTTATTTGCTGGTATAGCATCGCATGATCAACGCTGTGTAGTTGACTTATTGGGCTATGTCCCTACATTAGTCTGTGATTTACTAATTTGGGTTCTCCTTGTATGAATATATGCAGTAGGTAATCCCTTGATCCTGTAACGACAGTTTTTTTAACTATTTAAAATGTACTGCTTGACATGTACAGTGCACATAGCACAAGCCGAAATAGGTCATCAATTATATTAAATTTTATGTGGGACTAGATTTTTAGTTTGATTTATCTAAAAAGAAATATATATATTAAGTAAAGCATACCATTTAAATTACAAGCACTAGCATCGGATCGTTGCATGTTCATTGGAGCAATCAAAGACCATTGATTCGTTTTGTGATCGTACTTCTCAGCCGTGTTTTGTCTGTGATGTCCATCGTAACCGCCCATGGCGTAGATCAAATCGTCCACCACAGCAGTACTGACGTAACACCTTCTGGCGTGCATCGGGGCAATTTCTTTCCAAGTCTTGCTCACCGCGTCGAAACACCTGCACGAATTGAAGTAGTCCATTCCATCGAATCCTCCGATTACGTATATATTTAATCCGACCACGGCCGTACCGTGGTAGGCCCTCGGCCCCGTCGGATCCACTTCCTCCACCTTGACCCATCGGTCAGCTCTTGTATCGTAGGTCTCGATAAAGTTGGTGGGAGAACCTCCGCTCCAACCTCCGATCGCAAAGAGGATCTCGTGCGGCACTCTGGGACGGGCTATTTCGGGGGTCACAACTTCTCCATCTCTAGGAGACCAAATTATTAGGAACTGACTACCGTTCCGGATATTATTGGGACTGAAAGTCGAAGCGGTAATCGATACGCAGCAGGAGCGAGTCAAACGTTTCGGGCCAAGTTTTAAATTGTTCAAAAGTTAGACCGTAGAAGATTAATGGAAGACATTATTTTATTATTATTATTTGTAGTCCATAGAGCGTATTAATATTTTGGTTATACTAAAATTGATTTTCTCTATCTCTATTGGTCGTGATACAGTTTGCATAGATTTATAGTAAATAAATAACACCAGCGCTCAACCAAAAATTGAGTGACTCATAAATAACTAACTTAGCACTTCTCGGCGCTTCTCAAACTTTCTTAATTGGCGCCCCTTTTTTTATTTCTGTATTTTATAGTGTTATTAGATTTAATTTTATTTTAAACTCAAAACATGAACAACTAGCTTTGTTCCACGACTTCGTATGCTTAAATGATGAGGAATATAAGTACTAATTTTTATTAAAACGGGGTTTTATTTGCGTATTAAGCTCTTTCTTATGACGAAAATGAAGACAGGGACAGAGTATCAGGTGACATAGTTAATTGGTATTTTTATTCTTCGCTTTATTTATTTTTTTCTTTTTAAATAGCTCTACATATGGAGAGCACCATTTTGGGCCGTTTTACGAATAAAAGTTTACACATGCAAATTTTGAGTTATGCCACTTTATTACTAAGTGTGCGAAATGTACCTTAGTATGGAAGGAACTCATATCTTCACAAAGATCTGAAAGTGCCAATTGCCGAAGAAGAGAGAATAAATATCGCAAAAAAGCTGCATGACTAGACTACGTCATTATTGAAGTTGTACCGGGTGTTCCATATTTCAGAAACAGCTTTGGGAAAAAAATATTTTTAATAAAAACGGTCAAAAGAAATTACTGGAAATTATTTTCAAGTTTGTAGGGTGGTCGCTAGGGGGCGTAATTGTGACGTCAAAACATAAAAATGTAATTTTCTCAAAAAAATACCAAGTAAAGTATATTGATAAATATTACTATTTTAATCTTCAATGTTTTCTAAACAAAAAGCTTTGAGTGTAATTTTTGTCAGTTGTGAAAAAGAGTGGTGGGGGAAGGTTAAACTTTAATTTGGAAAAACGCTCATAACTCCGGTTTGGCTTTAGCGAATTTAGTGAACTTGGTTTCGTTTAGAAGAGCTTTTTCAGCCTCATTTTTAGCTTTATAAACTGTGGCTGCTTACGTTTTATGAACGCCGCTAGAGGGCGTTAAGTTAAAAACCTAATACCCAACCATGATTTTTACATATTTTAAATAATCGAATGATATTAGATAAGAATGCATAATATCTACACATGTAGTCTGAGGGATACCTAAATCTCTTGAAATTACTCGAACGCTTAGCTGGGGATTGAACTCTACGTACGCTAAAACATTGATGACATTTTCTTTAGTTCTTCTTGTACCCTGTCTGCGGTGTAAGGGGCGAAGGACACTTCCCGTGGTTCGAAAGCGATTTGCTAAACAAGTAAACATTCTGCTGCCGTACCGGCGGCATGTTTCAATTCCGTTATCTATCTCGGCACCATAGCCAAAATAAGAAGTTCTGATTGGTTGCATTGTATCGGCTGAGTGGGTGCCGAGATCACGGTCGGAAATGAGTGTGGAGTGCCGAGATCAAAGACGGAACTAAAACCAGCTAAAAGCGCGATTTTCTATGAAAATAATGATCACACGCAATTAAGTGATAGGAATAAGATATCTACATAAACAAATTAACAAGAACAAACAATGAATAACTCGTAGGGCAATACAAAGCAATGCCCTGTTGCGCTTGGGACATTATTGTCAACATTAATATGCAAATTTCTCGGTCGTTTGATTTTTCTTCGTTTTGAAGAATCTTTCGAAGGCCGACCACCTGTGAAACGTTCTGTTCCTTGAATTAAAGTCGTTCTTCGGTTTATTGTTGTAGGTTGTACTTTAATTGTGGCTCTGGATGTATGTCTTCTAGGCAAATAACTACCAGCAGTACCAGTGTACCTACTGTCCACAAATAAGCATATTCACCAAGATCTTTTTGTTGGATTTTTTTTTCAATTATCAATATCTAGACCTTCAAAATGACTTAGACTCAATTTTGGATTGGTCATTAGAAAATAAATTAGTTTTTAATCTTTCCAAATGCAAGGTAATTACATTCAGCAAAAATCGTAATCCTCAAAATTTTATCTACACAATGCAAGGATCAGCACTAGAGAGAGTATCAAAAATAACCGATTTGGGAATAGTTTTTCAAAATAACTTCAAATTTGATGAGCATATCCATAATATTACCAAAGAAGCTAACAAATTATTAGGATTTCTGAAACGTACGACTGGGGACTTTACAGACACATACTCAATTACAAATTTATTTTTTTCTCTCGTTTGTAGTAAATTAGAATATGCATCCACTGTATGGGACCCTACGCAACAAAATTTAAAACAAATTTTGGAAAGCATTCAAAATACATTTATTAAATACTTATATTTCACAAAGTATCGTACGAGTCCAGGCTTTGTCTTATTTGAACCTATTAGAAACGAGTTTAAAATATATTAAACCTCGTATTTCTACATAGATTGTTAAATGGATATATATCAAATAAAAATCAATGTTCCAGTGGCAGATATTCGCCCTCGTAAATTAACTTTTTGTGCGAATAATTTGTCTATTATTTAACACGTTGACTGCCAACTACGAGATAACTCGTTCTATGTTTACTTGCCATTTTTGTGCAGCTACGATTAAACTTGAAATATATCAGTGCTAATATCGATAGATGGCTTCTGGGAAAAGAACAAAAAGACAATGGCTTGCATGAACAGAAAATTTATTAAAAAACGATCAAAAAATATAAAAATTAGTTCAAATTCAAGAAATAAAATAATGTGATTAAATCAAATTATTATTTTGGGCCAGATGTCTCAAAATTGCCGTGGCAGTCAACGTGAACGTACATTTCGAAGACATCTCTTGCGGTATTTTTGATGTAGTTGTAAGCACATACAGAAGGGAACTTACAAAAATTATTAAAGTAATATGATTTTGTAGGATATTCGTGGCTTTCGTGTGGGGTTTGCTAGCGCTCTGATTATTTTATTTTAGCATCTCTAGTTATTTTAGCATTTTTCTTTTTCTTTAAACTTTGATAAAAACATTTTAGTAGCGATGTTTGTTTAATATAAACAAATTTAAGTGTATTAATTATATATGGTGTTTTGTTGATTTCGTTTTTTGTTAATAATATTATAGAAACATGTAATTAGGCTAATGCTTGTTTGTTTCTGAAAATAAATATAATCAAGGCAATTGCTGGTTAGCTTGAGGGTGCAATACAACAAAAAATCTCATGTTTTGTTCATTTATTCATTCGAGTTTGAGAAACGCTGATCTAACTAATTAAGCATATCTAAATTTCGTTACCTGTGAGTGATCATTTCCAAATCGTACAGAAACTTCAAAGTTTCGATAATCATCGGTCGACTTTCTTCAGAACTAGATACATAAGGATGCTCTTTCACTCGTTCCAAAAAGAACTGCGTGTCCAATAGTCCTAATCTAATGCATTTCATTAAGGACACTATGTGTTTCTTCCTAGCCTCCGTATCATTATCGATCCATCTTAGAATCAACTCCCAAACTGTTTCTTCACTCTTAACGTTAAGGTCGTCCGCATTGATTATTTCTTGGATCTCGGCTAGGGACAGTGTGAGAATTTCGTCACTTTCGTAGGCAATTTGGGAAAAGTTCCTCATGATGAATTTCCAGGTGTTTGCCGCCAGTTCGCGACAAAAGTGATTTCTGGCGAAGTTCAAAATCCCTATGCAATTTTTGGGAGTTAAGTTGGTTTCCAAAAACTTACAGCAAAGGTCCAGAACTCCCAAAATGCTCAAATAATCCGCCGTTATCAGCAAAGAGTATACGTTGTCGTGGTTAATGTCTAATTTTCTTAAGTATATATAGACAAGGAGTTTTTGTAACATCTCGGATGTAACTCCTGGTAAATGCACTCGGTGTTTTTCTCTATTGTGGAGAGTCGTGGTAAATAAGGCCCTGCGAAAACCAATGAAACTAATTAATTAAAAAAATTTAAACTTATAAGTTTTTGACTAAAGGAAATTTCATTATTACTTATTTGAAAACAATTGAGACAAATTATTTATTACACAAATTTTGAATATACAGAGTGGCAAATCAAAATGTATAGTATTTTATTTTCGTTTTAGAATGGATACTAGATTCAATTGTTGAATATTTTTAAAAAATATTACAGGATTGCTAAGCAATTAATTTTTTGTGAATTTGTAGAACAACGATGACCCCAAATAAAACTAGCAACGATTTTAAAATTGTATAATTTTCTAAATTATAAGATACCAAGCTAAAGAACAGTGATGATAAAACTGACACATCATAAATTTGGCTCATTGTAAGCTCTATTTATTCAATTTTTCAAATGGAACACTCTATATTATTTTTGCATTAAATTCCTATCTAACTATACCAAACAAGTTAGCCTATTATGTACTATTCGAAGAAATTTTGAGAACAAAAGTTATACGATCATATTATTCATAATAGGTACACAGCGGCGGTTGAGTGCTAACTGAGAATTTTCCTGGTTAATGGTAGACCAGACATAGGTAAAGTGAGAGAGTATAAAAGGCTACCGACGCAAACCAACTCCCCCAATGTAAGGTCTAAGGTAACGTGCCGACGGATGAATTGCCGTAGGAGTAAAAGTAGCAGCCAACGTTCCTCTGAGGGTATCTGGCGACATCCTTTTATATCTAGTCTTGCCTGCGCACGCGAGACTCTGCGGTGGTGGGCCCTTCTTTCCATAGCTATTCCTGGGAACCTAATGGATTCGAAACCCACACAACTCCAAGGAGGCTGGACGTCAATATTCACCTTCAGCAAAGGAGTCTGGAACGTCCACGTTTACCTCCAGCAAAGGAATCTAGACGTCGACGTTTACCTGCAGAAAAGAAGACTGGATGTCAACGCTCACCTCTGGCTAAGGTGTCTTGACGTTAAAGTTCACCCTTAGTTGGATTTTAAGTTTCAAAGGAAACTGGACGTCAATCTTCACCTCCAGCAAAGGAGACTGGATAGCAAAATTCAACTCCATCACAGGAGGCTGGGCAGGGAGGTCCACCCCCAAAATACGAGGACGAACATCTTAAACCGACAGGCATCAGGGAGGCAAAAGGATATCTGGTTCTGAAGCAAAAAAGAGGAAGAAGGGCTAAACTGGAAGCAGGCAGAGCTACGGCCGCATACGTTCTGACTCCAAATCCAACATCTAAGCAGCTCAATCAAGTCTTTGGGTAGCGACGCTAGTTCTGCCTTTGCAAGAGCCCAGGAACACGACGCAACCAAGAAAAAAGAAGGCTCGGTCGGTTACAACTATGAGGAGCCATAATAGACCACTCCTCCCTCTTTCGGGGGAAAGGATGGTCAATAACTAACCTCGTATGCTGCCTAAATTTCAATTAAAGGGGTTACAGTTTTACAATATAACTTGCAGCACAAAAGGATAGCTACGGCAACATTATACCACCGCTGCCTCGATAAGCTGCAAGATACAATAACACACATCTAGGAACCTTGGATAATCAAAACTACAAATTTTTAACTTTCCCAGCAACCAACAACCTAGGAAAGCCATTTAAATTCCTAGGAAATATAAAGCACACTCAATGGCACAATTTTCCACCTTTGATTTAACTATGGTCAATGTGGAATATACCATTAAAAGGAGAAAAGACAACGTTAATCCTGGCATTTACATATCTCCCCTCTGATGCACCACCCAGCACAGAGTTGGAGGATCTTATTGAATACTGCCTGAACCAGTAATAGGGTACGACTCAACTGCTCATCACTTCAGTTGGAGCAGTAAGGATAACAACGCTAGGGGCAAGTCACTGTTTGGTTATATAATTACTAAAAATCTTTGTATTTTATATATTATTATATATTTATAATATAAACTGGCAAGTGTCTGATGATATTTCGATGTCAGACCACCACTAACATTTAAAATAAACTTGATGTTGCCGACCCCCACGTTATCTCGAAATCCTAGTAAAACGAACAGTGCAACAACTTATGCTAACCTTCTCAAAGAGACTCTAGAAGAGATTTAAGCTAAAACACCAAACAATAACAAAACTTCGAAAAGTACTAACACTATCCAAAGCACATTAAAAGAAATCCTGCCCCCTGTTCCAATACGATCAGACGACTACCGCATGGTGGTTTCGCAAGTTGGATCACCTCAGGTAGTTGGCTAGGACATCTTTTAATAAGGCAAATACTGGGATACTTACAAATCTCACAGAATACAAAAAATCTTTAAAGAAAAACAGAGAAATGCATGGAGATCCTACTGCAAAGAAATCAAATATTTCCCACAGGCAGCGAGGCTTCAAAAAGGTCTCTCAAGAGATCTAAATCGCAGTATAGGTGCCTAATCAAAGAGGATGGCTTGAAAACTACAAACTTCTGCTGTCAACATACTTCCCCGACTCGGTCATCAGAGACTTGTTCGACTGAACGGAAGAAGAATACAACCCATCTGTCTACGATTACCAAACTGCCATTTAAATCGCCAGGACCTGACGACATCTATCCAGCCCTACTTCAGTGGGGTCTGGAAGAAATCACACAGCACCTGGTAGGTATATTCAGATCTTCGCTTGCTCTGAGGTATATCATGTAACATATTAAAATATCACTGTTCCTCTACAATTTTTAAAATGGTAGCATAATACTATCGAAGTTTATAATAAAATTACTTGGTAATCCTAGAAACAAATTGTGTTTAAAAGATTTAAAAATCCTACACTAGCTCATTTTAAACTGTTTTTATACTTATAACGTATACTATGGATAATCAAACAAAAAACATTTACCTGAAATAAGAACTACAAGCGCAAAGAATTGCTCTATGAACTGGAATTTCGGCTCCATCATCTAATACTATGGTTGCGTCACAAAGTTGATTATTTTCCTTTAGCTCGAACAGCGCTTGCATAGCCTGAATACTCATACATCTTCCCGAGCCAACGTCCACGGGCTTTCCGATGATGGTATTCGATTCGCCCATTTCATTGTTCTGAGCCAGATTGAACTAATGCTGTAGAAAAGAATTACTCACGGATAATTTAGTATTTTATTGGATGATTTATTGAATAAGAATGGAATGAAAAGTCAATTTTGAAAGATCGGAATAATGATGGCAACCATAGATCTCAGAAACCTTAGATACAGCATCGTAAAAAACTTTTGACCCTCTGCATGCCATGATAACTGAGTTTTAAGGTGGCGCTATTGACAAGAGAGAGATATATTGTTCTCTCTTATGTGCTATTGACAAGACAGGTTCAACAAGGTTAAGGTAGAAGATAATAAAAGGGTATTTTGTTAATAAATATGTTTTAATGACTTATTTATACAATACCAAGATTTTCGGAAATACAGTTCATCAAATTTCTAGAGGCTTTCGACGGCTAGACAGAGAAAGCACTACTGACAGGCATCCCGACGGATTTACGCAATGAAAGTACACTCTGCGCATCAAGTATTTCACTATTTCATTCAGACGTAAATGTCAGATGTAAATTTCGCTAAAACATTTCTTTTATTTTCGTTTGTGTTTTTTGCTCATTACAGTTTAATAGAACCTAAGTATGGAGTTTAATAGCAAATTAAGAGGCCGCGTGATTAACAGTCAATCTCGCGAAATAATAGCCAATGTTATAGAGTTTATGAGAAGAGAAGGAAACTTTAATTCACCTTCAATACCATTTAAAAATGTAAATGATCGTGTTGCTGCAGCCACAGGAGTATCTAAAAACACTGTCGTCCGCATTTCTGGAGAGAAAAAAAGAATCGATAACCGTGAGATATCGGAATTTTCATCACCAAGAAAAACCATTAAAAAACCAAAAACAGTTAATGATATAGATGAAGTTGCACAAGAATCAAATTTTATTTTTTTATTATTAGATAGCTATTTTTGTTTCTGAGTTGTGTTCATTTACAGGCTTAATTTTTTTCCGTTTCTCCTTTTTGATTTTATATGGAGTTTCAAGTTGTTTTTGACTTATTTCGACGTAAATCACAACAACACACTTTTTTAATAAAGCAAACAAGTGTTAAGAGGTATATGTACGTGTAAACTACAATTACAAAAAATTGATATGAAACCCATGAAACCACCAACAAAAATGTAAAGCTAGCTTCCGTACTAGAACATGGTGTCATTCGTCGAGATAATTTATCGTTTTGTTTAATAGATCAAGAAATGTAAATATTCCCCTGTTATTTTTTATAAAATTATAAGAGAAATAAATTTTTTTCTAAATAGTATAGTTTATTATTTTGTAGAAAAACAAAATTTCGAAAATTTTAGTAATTTTTCAGAAACTAACGTTATTAATAATAGGTACCATTTTCCTTAATAAGGTAGAAATAAAATATAAACTATTTCCAGGATTTACAAAGGCCTACAAAAAAATTATAGGTATTTTCCGCTATCCTATAAAATTTATATTTTCTGACTCAATTTCAAAAGGTTGAAGGAATTCCAAGAAAGTCCAATCAGACCAATTTAATCCCTGAACTATTCCACACTTTTAAAATTTAATTACCTAAAAATATTAAAAACTATTTAAAATAACTTGTTTAGCAGACTGTACAATAGCTATCTTAGTCACACGTAGCGCGTTCTCTGTCTGGGCGTCGAACACCTCTAGAAATTTGATGAACTGTAGACTATCTACATCTAACACACGTTTAGACATTTTTAAAATTTCCACTAAATTTACAATATACATACAATGTCAACACTTGCAAAGAATCAATTCAACTGCAATATTTGTAACAAATTTAGTACCTACCCTAATGTTATTTTAATTTAAAGGTGACCATTAGGGCAATTTTACTTAATTTCTTGGGAAGGGGCTCATTGGAACTGGTTCTCAATGACTAATTTGCATAATTTTGTTAATTTCATGTCTGATAGAGCTGTAACTTCGGCTGATGCATTAGAAAGAGCGAAACACCCACTAAACTGAACGAGGATGCTATTTGCATGAAAGCGTTTTATGAATAAACTAGTACTTACGACTACACTGGTATCACATTGCAAAATAAATGGCTTACTTTGCTATACATAACCTTCAAATTCAATAGTTCAGAAAAAGATATTAAACTGATAATAACTGGCATAAAGAAAGCAAATGTACTTCCTTAATGTTATTGTAAAACCTTTTTGTACGTTTTAGAACCTATTGTTAAATAAATTAGGAATTATGTACCACAAACAATCCTTGTATATAGATTCTCCAGTTATAATTTGGCAACAATATGGATAACAACGTGAATGCTTGCAATTCGCCTTTTTTAAACAAAATTGGTCTGATAGTTGTTTATTGTTAGTCCCTTCTCTAGTTTTGGTAACCTAATTAGGTTCAGATCGCAATATCTACGTACTGTAACCGAAAAATACTAATAACAGGTGCAAAAAGACTACTGAAGCGCTCGAGAATGAGATTAAGGCAGTACTAATTGACCAAATTGAAGTAAATCGAGCAATAATAGAATTTAATATCCCATAGTGTACATTAAAGAACACAATTAGAAATTCGAACCTAACTAAATATGAATGGGAGAAGAGATTGAACAAAAACTGGTGGACAGTCTCACTCGGACATGTGAGGTAAGACCGGCCAGATGTTTACTTTATATTTTTTTTTTAATAAATGGTTATTTTCTCGAAAATTACTAACTAAAATTGTAGAAAAACTTATAAACTATCTACTAGTAGCAAACAAATGACTAAACATTGACAAGACTGTAGCCCATGTTTTTTCAAAAAGTGGACAAATTTTGCCGGACCTAACTTAATTATTATGGGAACTACTTTAATGTTAGTGTATATGACTAAGAAAAAGAAACAAATGAGGTAAAATAAAGGAATAAGAAGTTGATAATTAAATAAAAGTTTTCTTATACATTCTTTTTTTAAAATAAGTAATTTATCACTTAAATTTAACTGATTCTATTTAGGTAAAACATTTTATCTTTGAGCACAGAATAGATGAACAACACAGAAAAGAAAAATAGAGCTACTGCTTTAACCCCAGACATAGTAGCCACGCCTTATCGATGGTGGAGCATTATCAAAGAATAATAGAAATAAAGGTAGTTTTCGCAGTGTAGTTTCAATGAATTGTTTATACTCGCATGTACTAGTTTTCTCAGAGTACCTCTATGTTAGCACTGAAAGTCAGATACTTATATCCCCTCTATTTCAAAACGTTGACCGTTTCTTTTCTATCTGTATTTTTCATATTATTTCTATGCTTCAATAAAATCTACTGTTTTGTATCGCTCCTCATAAAAATTAAACTATAATAATATTTCTTACATTTGTCTGGACTTAATTCTAATAATTATTCATTACTTCTGTTGAACTATTCATCAGTTATGTGATAGCAGCACTCGATTTACCCATTTCTTTCTTTTCAACCGGTTGGAATACGATGTCGGAGGGTTGAACCAATATATACACTAATAATTTATCGAAAATAAATTATTCTCTGTCAAATTTTACAAAAACGTCAATCAAAATGAGTGAAATTGTATGTTGGTAACAGTTTCTCAAAGACATATTTAACGATTCAAAAATTGTTAATTGAAGAACCAATCAGGAGAAACGACTAATAATTATTGTATTAAACATTTGATAAAAACGAAAATTGTAATTAAATAAAATACAAGGTAGAGGTTCATCTCGAGGAGCCTTCTAACTAACGAAAGTGGCTAATTGGTTGGATACTGCTAACCCAGACAGCACAAGTCAATCCATTGGATGTCCATCGGAAGTCCATTGATGGACATATCGGCTATTCAAAGGTCGTCCAGCATTTTATCAAAGGACATTCAATGGACATCCATTGAACTAAACGCCTAATCAGGCAAAACTGATAGTTAAAAATGTAAAACTTTTAGATAAAGTGTGAGACATGTATTATTTTATCTATGCTATGAGCCGTTGCTGTGGTTTTTTTGTTCTTAACCGCTTTCTTCTTCTTTTGTATCTTGTCAACAGTAGCGAAAAGGAGAGGAAAATTAATTGACTGATTTTAATTAAAACCTAGTTGAAATTATAAAAGAAAAATTATAATAAAATTTATTATAAGTTTGTCATTTTTATAGTGTCCATCATGGACAATTTTTGGACATCCATTGGACTTCTGAATCGGTATATTCATTGGATAACGGAAAATGAATCTCCAATGGACATCCATATGAAGTTCATGGACATCCAGGACATTATTTGGACAAAATATGGACGTCCAATAGACGTCGTGTGCTGTCTGGGAAAGTCAAAACATACTTACCCAAGAAACAAATCCTAAATGTGCGATGAAACCTGCTCTAGTCAAGGAATTTTTAATAAAAAAAATTTGTAAATGGTGTTTAGCGGGTTGCAAAAATAATAAATAAATTATTAATAATATAAAATAGTGTGTGGTGAGTTGCGGTTGTATAAAAAAAGTAAAGGTTGTGGTCTCAATGGACGTTTTTTGAATGTCCAGTATTAAACGTCCAAATATAATCCAGGATTGGACGTCTTATGAACGGTCAAAAGTGTGCCATTTGTATACTTCCCTGGACGTCCATTGGACGTCGAAAGTCCAGAAAAAACTCATCTTTGGACGTCCAGACATGCAAAATTGTATATCGAATGGACGTCCAATGGACATATTTGTGTTGTCTGGGTAGTTTGGATTTGTCAAGTTTGTTTGTAATTTTCTTATGGTTTTATATTGCAGAAGCGTCTTTTTATAATTTTACAATTTCTGGTGTGTTTTTTAAACGAATTTTATTAGTTTTAAGTGTAAAAATCCAAAGCCCCAATTTGGCTTGAGAAAAGGATTCGATATACTATATGAACTCTTGTCATTGATATTTAGCATCTTTTATTGATAATAAATATTTACCAACGTTATCTCTTAATACAGGGTATTTCGCATAAGTACCGACACAGAACATGTGCGTATTAAGCACCCCATAATATGATTTAACGCAATTTACCTCTATACCAATTTGTACCCCTCAGGAATTACGAAAGCCTAATGTGGATCAGGGTGTTAAAATTAAAAAAAAAATAGTATTTTAGAAGTATCATAAATATACTTAAACTGATTTGGTTGAAATTTGGTACAGTTATTTGAAGTAAACAGGCACTTATTTAGCCCTATCTAGATTGAAATTATTGGGTCCAGTTGTATC